GCCTGGGGCGGGAGCCACGTGCCGGGGCCGTCGTGGGGCGAAAGCTCCCCGGGAGGTTGCGGGGAGGCCCTGGCCCAGGGGGCCCGGCCCCCTCGCGCCTCCCCAGCCGCGCGCTGCTCCTTGGCCTGCAGGTTTCCGACCGACGGGTTCCTGCTGCTGGCCCTGCTGCTCTACGCGCCCGTGGGGCTCTGCCTGCTCGTCCTGCGCCTCTTCATCGGCGTCCACGTCTTCCTGCTCAGCTGCGCCCTGCCCGACAGCCTGCTGCGACGGTGCGTGTGCCCGCGGGAGGCCGGCCCAGCCGCCCCGCTCCACTCCGCGGGGAGCTGGAAGCACCTTCTCTACCAGGGCCGAGGCTGGCGCCTGCTCCTGGGTGCTTGGGGACTGGTAAACAGCCGGGCTACTGGATATCCCGCTGCCCCCACCTGTTTCACACTCTGTAGGCAGCCCTCAGCTGCAGCTCCCCAGCTGTTCCTGCCCTGGGCATCTCTGCCTGTTCATTCCCAATGCGTAGGACTGTGTAGGACCAGTTCACCTGGATTCCTAGGCATTTTGTTTGTTTGCTGGGTTTCTAATCTTGCAGTGGCTCAGACTGCAGCACTTGAAGAACCCCCTTTTCCCCCACCAGATTTATCGTGCGTGTCATGTGCTCGGTTCTGGGCTTGTTTGTGCGGCAAAACGACCCGCGGCTTCGTGACGGCAGCGTGAGGGTGTACATCGCCAACCACGTGACGCACTTCGATCACAACGTCATCAACCTCCTGACCTCGTGTAACACGGTGAGCTGATCTCGCAGCAGGGGCGTGCGGGGCTGAGGCCTCTTCCACAGAGGGGCAAATAGAGGCATCTGCCAGAGGGTGGTTCTTGCCCTGGCCCTGCTCAGCGCCTTGCCTTGGGCTCCTTTTTGTACCTTGGTCTCCTGCTCTTGGGCTCTCTCTGAGAGCCAGAAATAGAGTGGGCAGAAACAGGAAAGGCAGGGTTTCGGCTGGGGCCTGCATTTATTAAAGGAGAGCGGGCAAATTCGAGCCTCTGTGTGTTTTTCTGGCGTTCTAAGTAGATCCCGTTGTAAGCAGGGCTGGCTGCAGGGTTTTCTCTGGCTGCCGCTCGCTGCCCCTGCGCAGGAAGTGGCGGCCACGGCTGCCTGGCAGGGCCGCAGCACCGGGGGGTTGTGCAGCCGTCTGGAGCCGTCGTGAAATTCCTTGTGCGTGGAATTCAGCCAGTGGTCTCCAAACGTGTCTGAGTGTTACTTGATTCTGTGTGTTCAGGGACAGTAGATTTGGTCCTTATCTAGGAAAGAGCAAATTTCAGAGCTAATGTATCTTTCACCAAGCATATCAGGAACTTATCACTGTAAGCCAAGGCAGGGAGAGAACTTGTTCCTCAGATAGACAAGGTACAATCTGAGCTGGAGATCAGGAATCAAATTCCAAGGCAAGTGGGACCTGAGTGGTTACTGAAGTCCAACAGTAACAACTTCTTGGCTACTAGAATTTTTAGCATTTGTTTGCTGAACCCCTAGAGAAGTTTTTGCTAATAAACAGGCACATTTTCTTGCGTTAAAGGGTGGACAAGAAGGCACCTCTGCTTGCTCTTTATTCTCTTGCAGCCTGCACTGAATGGTGCCCCTGGCTTCATCTGCTGGTCACGAGGGTTCCTGGAGCTGGGAGCAGCGGGAAGCCGGGCGGAGCTGGTGGATTCCCTGAGGATTTATTCCTCCCAGGAAGGAAACGTGCCGCTGCTGCTCTTCCCCGAGGAGGCCGCCACCAACGGGCGAGTGGGTTTGCTGCGCTTCAGGTGACAGAGACGGGCGTCTCCGCGGGGGCTGGCGCTGGCTCCGGGGTCCTTCATCGCTGAATTCCTCCTTTGCAGCTCTTGGCCATTCTCGATCATGGATATGGTACAGCCAGTTGCCCTGCAAGTTCAGAGACCTTTGATCACTGTGGTGAGTCTGGGGGATTAGAGCAAAGAGATGCTCTGCAAGCGTGCACTCTGTGAGGGTCTTGGCAACAGGATTAATTTTGCTTCTGCTTTGAAGCTCATGGCTATTGCAGGCTGCTGCTTTTTCCTATCATCACAAGGTCTGACTTCCCAGCGTTAACCTGGGTATTCTTTTCTCAAGCACATTTCCTTGGGAGCTTCAGCTGGCTAAAGCAATATTCCTTCAATTACACTGGCAATTTTGATAAACTTCCTTGTGGCCGAGCTGTGCAGCGACACACTGCGTGGCTTACGTGACTGCAGTTTTGCTGTGCCCCTCTCCTCGTGTTTTAAAGGGTTTGGAAGGAGTAATTCCAGTTGCCTTGGAGATCGAATGACGTGTCAAAAGTTATGTAAGGCTTTCTAGGTTAGAGACTTGAACTCGTGTCCCCCAAGTGCAGATATGTAATGTGATGCAAGAGCAGACTGAGAAAAGCAGCAAAGTTCATCATGATAATATGCACACTGTTAAATAGGTTAAATGAATTGGTTCTCAGCTCGTTTATAGAATATGATTTCATTGAGTATCTGTGTATTCTTGATGTGATTTGTGAATCTAACGGATTAAAAGAAACTTGCATTTAATATTTGTCAGGCATTTTAGCTGATTTCCTGTGGTGCAACTTTTTAAGGTAATAGGACACTTTCAATATGTTTCAAGCTGCTTACCAACAGGTCACCCAACATCACTGTCCACAATAAAATTATCATAAAGTTGGTGTTTTTAAAGTGAGGTTACGTTAGGAATTAGTTCTTTGTGCGGCACTATTTGGTGCTTTCGTTGGTGCTCTAGATGACGGTATTAAGATCCTTGTTGGTAAAGTTTGTGTTAATGAGAATTGAATGAGCTGGAATGCTGAGAGTGATCTGAACTGCCTGGTTAAATGGTCTCAGTCCAACAAAATGCATATTAGTAAATGCAGCTGTAAGGCCGGTAAAGAACCAAAACTGATGCAGGGATTTTGGAGGGAGGAAACTGCCTTTTAGACACTGAGTGATTGAAAAGTTGCTACCAGTATCAGGATGAGCTGCCAGGGAATTGCTGTTACTTGCTAGACCAGGGTTGTCAGTGAGTGCACAACAAGGGTAATACCTGCTGTAGTGAGGGACGTGGTGCGAACCGTGTGTGCTGTGATGGTGAGAACTGTTGCAAAAATATTGTGGGGAGTTCTGGGGTCCCCAGTGTGTGGCATTCCCTAGAGAGGACTTAATTAGCAGGAGCTCAAGAAGGCCATAAGCAGGATGCAGAATCTGGAGAATAAGACGTGAAAGTACTTGGCTTAAGCAGCTTATCAGAGATAAGGCAGAGAGATCACTGTGCTGTTTGCTTCCTGGAGAAGAGATTTAAGAGTGAAGAATTCTTTGTTTTTGTTTTTGTTTTTCCTGACAGCACACGGCAGTTTTGGCGAGTGCTAAGATTAGATGTCGATACTACACAAGTTTAGTTTTGAATTAAGGTGAAGTTTCCTAATAGAATACTTTCAATTTTTGAATGACCCCACCAGAGAAAGGGGAAACTTGTCATTTTCTTGATTATTCATAATTAATATGTTTTCTTTATATGGTTTGGCTCCTCTGAAAAGTGTGCTGTGTTGTGACAGGTTGTAGGGGAATCTTTACATTTGTACAGCTTTTCTTTGTGAGTGATGAGAGAACAGAGTGCACCCAAGTGCAGACCTTTTTGGGTATAATCACCTCTTGTCCTTCAGCAATCAAGCAGGTTTTTTTTTTGCCTTTGTGCGTATTTGGCTAAATAAATTCTGTTGAGTTTCTTGGGTAATTCGGAATCATGAGAAGCTTTCCAGGAGTGGAGATGGGACACTGCCAATCAGTGCTTCCCAGCAGCCTTTCTTAGATACGTCTGACACGTAGCAGAGGCAGCGCTGAACAAAGTACCAAACTTGGCCTTGGGAGGCATTTTCTCCGAGTCCAGAGGACAAAGCCTTGGAGCAGGTGCCAAGCTCTCCCATCCACACTGTGGATCACATCTTGCTTCCTGGCACTCTCGGGCTTGACTTGGCTCCTCAGCTTCCAGGCATGGGCACACTGGGCTTTGCGGTAGCTCCTGATGCAGCTTCGTGAAGCTCATGAGGGTCGTAGGAAGCAGTGCAGAGTCCTGGATGTGCGGAATGGAGTAAGCTGGGGAGCAGGCTGGAAAGCAGAGTTGTGTGGAAGGGCCCTGGGCGGGTGCCTGGTGGGCAGGGCGCGCGGGAGCCGGGTCGTGGTGCCCAGGGCTGGGCTGTACTAGCCAAGTGGGAGCCCGCAGGCCCACGGAAGCGCTTGCTGCCCCCTCAGTGGGGCTGGAGAGGCCGCAGCTGAAGTGCAGTGCCCAATGTGGGGCTGCCCAGGGCAGGCGAGATGTGAGCGGGCACAGGGCGCCCCGTGGGCCCTGCTGGGGCAGCCGAGGGGCTGGAGTGCAGAGTGTGTGACTGAAGGCACCCCCTTTGCTTCCCCTGGAGAGGAGCAAGCGAAGGTGGGTCTTGCTCCTCTATTCCAGCACCCAATGTGAGGCAGAAGGGAAGATAGAGCTGGTCCCTTTTTGGGGATGTGGTGTGAAATGTTGGGGTGCAACGGTCACAAACTGCAGCACAAGAGATTCTGATCTTCTATAAGAAAAAAAAAAGGATTAAGTGAGACAGGAACCTGGGAAGTTGTCAAATTTTTCTCAGAGATATTCGTGTGTCGACTAGATACAGCCTCAGATGACCTAATCTAACTCCAGAAGTTGTTTCTAAGCTAAATTGTTCATTTTGTGGCACGCACCAGTGTCGCTTTAGGGAGTGGTTGTTGGAATCAGTGGTTGTTGGAAGGTGTTTGTCATCGGGTCTCTTAGATGTCTCATTTGCTTGAGATCCAGGAGGTGAGGCTTCTTTGTGTTAGTTTTGGTAGCTGTGGTTTCCAGGCTTTTCTCATTCATATTGCCTTTCTCCAAGCCTTGGGTAAATCAGGTGGGAGCCTGTCCTGGAGCCGTCCGTCTGGTGCAGGAGGAAGTCCCTTCTAGTGGAAGCTGAGGCAGCCACGTTGCTGCCTAGATCCTGAGACGTGTTCTCCATGGCTTGTGGGAAGCTTGGTCGCATGCAGAATAAAAGAATTAGAATAACGAATTAGAAAAATCCTAGAAAGAACCATCCGTTCAGTGACCATCCAATAGAAAAATTGTTAGAATCGTTGAAAAAGTAAGTTGGAAGGGATCTCTGGAGGTCTCTAGTTCAGCTTTTTGCTCAGTTGGCCTAGCGTTTGATCAAGCTACTCAGGGCCGTATCCAGTTAAGAGGAATGGAGATTCCCTAAGCTGTGAGCCCGCGTTCCAGTGCTTAGCCTCCATTTTCTGGCCAAACATCATCTTATTTCTCAGAGAAAATGTTATCTACTAGTCTTTAGAAAAGAAAGTAATAAAACATGGGTCACTGTTTATGTTTCCTGTTCAAAGAAAAGTTATTTAAAACTCCACAGTGCAACCTGTTAGGAAATAAGAAATAGTGCGTGAGAGTTGAGACGTTGCACAGGCTGTTCCCACGAGGACAGCTGTTCTGTTGGGGATAGGTGTGATCTGAATCATGTCTAGTAAGAGTTTCTTGTTCCCACTACAACAGCAACCAGGATCCCGGAGGCCACAGAACTCCGCTGCTGTGGTGGACCCCAGGAATGAGGAGTGTTTGTGATGCCAAGGGGGATCATAGGCTCCAGGCTGCTTTTCAACTCTTCCTAAATGCCAGCTTTAACGGAGCCCAGGGGAAAGGGAAGTTTTGCCCTCTCTGTGGGAGGAAACGCAACTTAAAGCAGTGAAAACTTCGACTCCCTTGCCCTGCCTTGGAGGAACTAGTGGAGATGGATCTGCCGTGGGGCTTCTCCTCTGTGCTCTGGATTTGCTGTCCCCTCTTGCTGGTCCCGCCATCTCTGTGTGTCTGTTACTGCTGTGGCTGATTCACGCGCCGCCTCCCCAATGGCCTGGCTGCTGTCGCGCCTGGGCCATGGTCTTACTGTCCTTTCCTCCCTAGAGTGTGGCCGACTCCTCCTGGATTGCAGAGCTTCTCTGGACCTTCTTTGTTCCCTTCACAGTTTATCAAGTAAGGTACTATCTCCCTCTCTCTCTCATTTGGGGTAGGGACTAGGGTGGGTAGAGGGCCTGACATTTTTGCCTGCTTGCACTGTAACCAACATTCTGTACGTGCTGGTGTGCGCATGCACTGTGGTATCTCAGCGTGGCTCTGTTCAGCATTATTTGGTCCAAGCCAGATGCTTACAGCCAGCTTCTGAAGTGGAGAGGACTCGTAGCTCCTGCTTCCAGCTGGTGAAGAAGAGTCTCTTGGGGCTTTTGTCTCAAGTTTGCCCAGTGTATTTTTGATGCTAGTTCCTCTGCTGTGATTCACACCAGGGTTGCTCAGATCCCATGGGTGTTTCCCTGCAGGCAGTTCACTCTTCTGGCTTCTGTCCGTTGCACTCCCCAGTGAATTGCAGGGGTGGTTCAGAACCTTCCTTGGGCCCTGGCGAGCCCAAACTGGCTGAGCAGCTTTGGTGTAATAAGGGGCTGTGGGCAATGGAAGGGGCTTGGACACAGATTCTTTCTACTGTGGATGTAGCAGCGGGCTGTTTCAGCAAGGAGAAGTTTGTGCTTTAGCTTTCCTCAGGCCATGTCTAGATCTAGCTTGAGTCCCGCTGATCTGTGTTCTGTTGTCATGTGCATGACAATGTCCCCTCCTTTGGGGCCTCTTGGGAACTTCCTCAGGGGATATTTTGCATGTTATCCTTGAGTGCTGTTTAAGATCAGGTGAGCCAGTTTTGTCTTCTGAGCTATGCCTCTGCCCTGCTTCCGCAAGTGAGCGGTGAGGTTTGACTCTCCTCTTGTAGGAAGAGATCTGGTGAGCAGGGAGAGCGGAGGTGGGGACAGTGCCGCCTCCTTGGTCATCCCGAGGTGGGGCTGGCTCTGCAGCAGCCTTCCAAGCAGCCAGCCCAGTGCTCTTGTCCCCATTCAGGTGGATGCCGTCTGTCCCCAGACGAGCTGAAGAACTGAGTGAAGATTTTGCGCTCCGAGTTCAGGAGGTAGGAGGATGCTGTGGGAGAGGGAGGTACAGGGTAACCTCAACTTGGGATGGCCGCAGAGGAGAGGTGGGGTGTAAGCAGGGCATTTCCAGATGGGTGTGTTTGCAGCGTGGGAGCTCTGGCCCATGTTTATTGCCCCATGTGATATCCAGTTCTTCTATGGCTTATTTGCAACAGCCCATTATCCTTTCTGAGAGGCTCTCCTCATCTAGTCCAAACTTTTCGCAGTAAGAACCCACCTTCCCTAACATTACAAATGAAATGGTGATTGTTTCTCCAACTTTCCTTCCGGTGCTGGTTATCTCATAGCTCCCGTGCCAAAGATCTTGCATCTCCCTGTCAGCCTGTTGTGGCAGGATGACATTGCAAACTCTGGTCTTTTCCGTGCTCCATGCAACACTGAAATCATTTGTCACTGATGCTCTGGACAAACCAGTTCCTGGCCTTTTTGCCCCTCGCGGTGGCAGGCCCGTGCGCCAGCTCTGCTCCTGTACGAGATGGGAATGCCTGGGTCGTGCGTGGGTTGTCATGTACATGTGACTCTTCTCTGTGTCTCCACAGCTCTTAGCCGTGGAGCTGGGTGTGGTATCCACACGGCTCACTGCAGCAGATAAAGCTGAGCACATGAAGAGACTGCGACACACGTCACTTCTCCCCTTTGCCCCAGGTATGTGGCCTAGGTTGCTCCCTGACTGTGGAGCAACCGCTTACACTTTCCCTCTAGGGAGGCTGCAGTCTGCACTTGGAGGGAGAGGAGAAGACAGGTCCCCTGGTCCAGACATCCCCTTGGGGACTGGGCTCTGGGCAGTGGGGTGTAGCTTGGTTGGAGGCAAGAGGGCCTCTGCTCCCAGGCACATGCAGGATGCAGCGTGCAGGAGATCCTGCTCTCTTATCCCACCAAACTAGAGAAAGCATAGCTGTGGCAACTTGAAGGCTGTGTGTTTTGTGGCAACCCTCACGTGGCCTCTGTGTTTCCTTTTGCAGCCCCATCCCTGGCAGCCAGGCCCAGGGTGCCTTCCAGCTTGGCTGGTGCTGGCTCCTCCGCTCCCGAGGATGTGCAGGTCACAGCAATGGCACAGCGGGTCAAGGAGGTGCTGCCTCACGTGCCTCTGGAGGTCATCACAACAGACCTGGGTAAGTGCCTGAGCTCTTAGCGGGGACACAGGGATACCTTTCGTACCAGGTGAGACCTGAAAGCAGAAGCCTGGTCTCTGCTGCAAGGATGGGGGCTGCTGCTTCTTTAACAGATCCTTTGTGTCCTACAGCCCAGACCGGTTGTGTGGATACCACCATTGCCAACTTGCTGGAGGGGAGAGTGTCCTTCTTCCCTGAAAGTAAGGAGACTACCACAGACCTGCCTGCCCCGTCTACCTCCCAGGCTGCAGCAGCTTCTGCCTTCCAGGGCTCCCTAGCGGTGCCTTCCTCCAAGGTACGCCGAGGGTTGTGGTGTCCCCCCTGCTCGGAGGGCTTGCAGCCAGAGCACGGCCTGACCTCACAGGAGCAGAAAACCTTAAACTCAGGCTGACTTGGCCTGCTGGCTGCTTTTGGGGCCAATACAGAGGTCTCTGGATTTTATTTGATTCTCTTCTGATTTTTTTTTGTCCTTTCCCTTTCAGCCAGGTACAAAGCATTTTGCAAAGTCCCCTGTGGAGCGGCATCTGTCCTTGCAGGAGCGGAAACGAGCACTCTACGACTATGCCAGGAGGTGAGAGTCAACCCATACCTCATCCCAAGTCCCCATCTGTCCCCAGCAGAACCAGGGTACGCCCCAGGCAAGGCTCAGCTCTCCCTTTGTCGCCTTTCCTCCTAGCTGTCTCTTCTGGCACAAAGCAGTGGGGCTGAGGCAGCAAGTTGTGGTTAAAAGGTGACAGATATTTGTCTCTGTTTCATTCCTCCCTATGACAGAGTTCCCTGTCATTCTTGGGAAATGCTCTGTCTCCTGTCTTGTCACTAATCTTTTGGTTTGGGGACTAGGTAGAAGCTGTTTTGTCAGAAACACAGCTTTTGGGTCATAGGGCTTATCGGAAGACATGATTTTGTTCTTTGATGTTGCAGATTTGACCGATAAAAGTCACTGTGGGGCTATGGATAGGTTAGGTTAGTGTTGATGCTGTGGACCATTCCTTTGGGGAAAGAAGCCTGATGCTTGGCAGCAGTGGTAGTGCGATTAATTTGCCTCTGCATAGGTATGGAATGGTAACAAGAAACAGGGAGTGATTTTGACATCTGTGTATGGTTTGATAAGGCAAGTGTCCATTTCTGGTGTGTGTTTCATTTGGAAAAGATCCTGAAAATTCAGAGTAAATATTGGAACAGCAGTATAAATCTGAGGCAAGTGAAGTCTGTTAACTTGCTGTGCTGTAAATGAGACAGTTGAATTTGTACAATTATCCTTATGGGGAAAGGGACCAGGTGCAGAAAGGCTCTTTCACCTCTCAGAGAAAAGCAGAATAGTAACCAACAGATGGGAATTGTTGCTGGACAGACTTTACTCAGGGAGTCCTGAAAAGGAAATGGGCTACTCGGTGGAATAAGTGGCTGGCGGGAACGATGGTTTCTCAGTGCCTGCGTGTTCTCCAGGTGGGCCTGGCTGACTCCCTGGGAGATGCTTCAGAAGGTGGTTTTGGAGCTAGCAGAGTCTGTGCATGAGGCCAGGCTGACCCGGGCAGCGCTCCGGTCGCTGGTAACGCGGCAGTGCCTGTGCCGGCGAGGTGCACAGCTGGGCTGCTGGCCCTGGAGAGACGAGTCGTGCGGGGCGATGGCCCTTCTGCACAGACCCCCTCTGCTCTGCCGGGGCTTTGGTCCCTGCTTACTCGACAGCACCGTGAGCCTTTCGAGGCAGGTTCCCCAGAGGCACTGGGTGAAGGTGAGAAATTCTGCCCTCCAGCAGCCTCCTTGGCCAGGCCTGTGTGCCCAGAGGAGCTGCGAGTGCCTTTTGCTCAGGGAGAGCCGGTGTCTCGCCAAGGGCAGCTGCAGCTATGAACTTTGTCTGGGACACCCCAGGAATCTGGGGAGAAGGTGGTGAGGTTTCATGGATCTGTTAAACCTTGCGAGTGTTTGGCATTCTGTCCGTTTTTTTCTACTGTGAAAAGTCTAGGAAGTTTCTATGTTTGGGAGTTAAAGCTGGGCACGTCCTAGCGCACATTCGTAAAGGACTACTCCTAATGACTGCGGGTGGCTCTTGGCCACCAGGAATTTAAACAGGTCTGTTCTGAGATCACTGCAGTGTAGGGACGTATCTCGGGGCAGTCCTGTGGCACAGAGGAGTCAGGCTGTCTGCAGTCGTGACACACGAGCGCAGAGGTGGCAGGAGGCCCACGCTGCCATGGGCTGCTCAGCAGCAAAGGGAAGGTGGCCCAGTCCCCCCATGGCTACCCCACGCTTTGAGTTTCTCCTCTGTACATGGATCTTCTGCACCCTTTCCTGGGGGTCTTCTGGCTTGCTATAGGATGGTGGTCTCTATACTTCTTCAAGAAGGGAGGCCTTAAGAAAATCGGAGAAAGGCGATTTTATTCCTGATACTTACTGCAAAGAAAGGACATCCTTACTGTCCGAGGTGTGAGAACAGGTGTGTGTCTCGGAAGTTTGGGGTGGCCCTTGTCACTCTGTCGCTTGGAGCTCGAAGGAGGCTCTGCTCAGGGCTGGCAGGATGTGTTTTTTCCTACCGCACTTGGGGCTAGTTCAGCTCGGGACGCCATGAGCGCAGGTGGCCGGCACGGGAGCCTGGCAGTGTCGCTGCGCCCCTACGTTTCCCAGCGCCGCTTCAGGGCCGAGCTCCTGCTCGTCTCTGAGCGCGCTGCAAGTGCCTCCTCTGAACGGGGCGCGAGGCTTAGCTGCCCCAGGCGCCGTGCTCAGCGCCATTCCAACCATCCGTATCCCTTCCCGGGTATTCTGGTGACTCCAGGGAAAGCGTTTGGGAAGCAGGGAGATTCAGTGCCTTCCTGAGCAGGGCCTGCCTGGGCCCCACTGCCCACATGGTTTGAGCATGAGAGTGTTAGAAGCCCCGACCACAGAATCTGACTCCTTCCCTGTCTCCAACCCAAAGCCGGTGCCGTTGGTGGCGGGAGACGTGTGTGGCTAGTTTGGCGCAGCCATGCCCTTGTGCTCTGCTCGCCCTGTCTGGGCAGCAGCTCTGTGTGGCCTGGGGCTCCCTGGGGACAGCCTTCTCTGCCTGCCGGGCTGCCCAAACCTTTCCAAAGCCCCAGACGAGTTTGCAGTGAGAAGCAGCTCCGGCTGCAGCAGCTGTGTGTGCAGGAGCGTGTCCAAGAGCGGCAGGG